AAGAAGTACAAAACTCAAGTTTTGCAACATAAAATATTTACAAAACCCATGCTGCATCTCAAATATTTAAAAAACCCATGTTATGGGACATTGAATAACATTTACAAAACCCATGACACATCTAAAATGTTTATAAAACCTATATTTTAGAACATGAGAAACATTAAAAAAACCCATGTTGCATCTCAAATGTTTACAAAACCCATGTTATATGAAATAAGAAACGTTTACAAACCCATATGTGAAATAAGAAACGTTTACAAAATCCATGTTATGTGACTAAGACACATTCACAAAACCACTGAGTGCTATGCACTATAACCAATAAAGCCTTCATCAACCTTGTGGTAGGCAGCATTCAAATTATGCTGTATGAGATATGAAGCCTAACACGTGATGTAAGAAGCACTCAGCCTGCATTACATAACATAATGAGATACTCATCAAGCCATGTTATGTAAGATATAAAGCTTTTAATAACTGCATTAAATTGACACATACAGCACTCACAAGGCCTGACACACAACAATTAATCAAACTCTCTCCCCCATATAAAAACATCATATTTTAACCTAGAAGTCTTTCCATTTATTTCAGCAGTCTCTAATTTCAGTTTATGATCTCATGCTGTGTTATAAAAAAAAGCCATCACTTAATACTGGGCATCCCCATGCATCTGTAGTTCTCTGATGCAGCAGCCACCCCAAGGTAACGCTAACATTTTTCTCTTTAAGTTCAGGTTCATTATTTCAGATCAGTATACCGCAACACAATAACTCGACTGTCCTTCTAAGGATTTCGGGCCCTTTGTAGATGCGGTATACAGTTCTATTAACGCCATTCACAGCATTCTTTTCCGACATGGGAAAAAAAACAGGCTCAAGTCGCCTCACCGAAGCCAAAGAAGATGCAGGTCAAACCAGACCCCCGATAGTGGCGCCAACACCCAAAGCCGCCTCTTTCCTGGCGCCAACACCTAAAGCTGCCCCAGTCGTGGCGCAGGGACCCTTCAGCACCCGCCTACAAATGCAGCAGCCTGGAGCCTACACTGGAGACATCATACAGTGCTCACGCTGCAACAGGGCGTGGCACACTGCGACAGCAGCCCATTGTGACGCTACTGCTCTGGTCCACATGACTTCAAGGAGTGCCCCCTGGCAACAGTTGATCCAGATTTCAGAAAGCCTAACCCCAGTATAAAGTGTTCTCCAGTTGCTCAGGGAGACACAGCGCTAGGTACCTTGGATGCCCGTACCTGAAGGGAATCAAGAGAGGTATGACCACCGCCGTCACCAGGATAGCTCCTCCAGAAGACAGAAAGAGGTACGAGGTACCCAGGATAGCCCAACCTCCAGTCGCTGCAACAACAGCAAAAAAACTAAGCTACAGAACGAAATAACACAATTGAAAGCCAAAATTGAATCATTCAGGAGAGACAAAAAAGCATCCAAAGTCAAGCGAGTCGAGGAAAGAAGGAGATGACAGGACTACGAAGCCTAATCCAAGACTTACTCCAAACCCAGAAGCGTATGGAGACAGAAATAGCTGACATGACTCAATTCAAGTCAGATATCAAGGCCGTGCTGTCATGTATCCAGACCCAAAAAGAGAAGGCAGCCGAAGAAGAGCAGAACAACTAGAAAGCAAACAGCGTAAGCCAGGAACAACTATCGACTGAGGTGACACTACTCAAGGACGCCACCCAAAAGCTGCAGACAGAAATGACTCAGACAAGACACACGATTTGGGAGAAAGAGAGGGCCAAAAAGGAGGCTACCAGGCAACGGTCTACTCAACGCGAAAACAAGATGATGCCACAACCAGTGAGAAAGTCAAGAAAGTGGCAACCGATAAGGAAATCTGCGAGGCCGACCTCCAAGAGATGCTTGAAAATTTTAACAAACAGGTATTCCTGCACAAGTTAGCGTTGGAAGATGGCTGCTATGTGATCATCTACGACTGGGAGGAGCTAGAAAAGGCAGACCCACTACCTGAAGAAACAGACAGGCGCACAAAAGTTGACAGATTTCACAATGAGCTTACCGCAGCCCTTAATCAACTGTGTGGGACCAGGCAAAAGCAAAGGAAACAGGGCACGTCCAAAGAAGAGGTTATCGCCAGTTCTAAAGCCACCAAAGAGATCCCACTGAATACGCCGCCATCTTCACGGACAGCTTACCAAATAATCGCCAGACCTGATAGCAGAAGACAGCCACGATGAGACCCCGCCCATTCACGTTCTTGGCCGCCCCTTTTTAGGACTGCCAAATCCATTCCTAAAAACTGGAATACACCTGCCAAGCCTGATCGAGCAGACATGATGCAGCAGCAAATAACCTAACTTGGGCGAAAATGATCGCCACACAGAATTGAATTCAATCAGAAAACAAAGAAACCATCCTCAGTAAAGCAGGCCCTCGAGCAGCTGAAAGAGGACAAAGTTTGACATTTTTGTTTGGTTTCACAATTACGATCAGTTCAGGATCTCCTATTTAAGTTCTTCTTCACCTGGGTTGAAATAGTGGATAAGAGTCCCCATTCTCCTTTATCTTCATTTCCTCTTCTACTGCTTCAGGTGTCGAGGGAGAAATAAGGTTCTGCTTCTTGCTTCTCCGGCCACCTCATCCCTAGGCACATCGTGATGTTGTAGAGTTTCTTTGATGTTATCTTTCCATCGAGTTCTTGGTCTACATTGTACTCTATTTACCTCTCTTTTTCTGCTGTATTATGCATTGTATGAGATACACCATGCTGACTGATAAACTGAACTATTATTCACCGGTCTGACTGTTACCTAGGTTGCCTTAGTAGAATTACAATTCTAGCTGGAGAGATATGGATGGCATCTCATTGGCCTATGAGAAACTAATTTGAAATAACTTGGAGAATTCACAGCCAATCAAGGATATGCAGTTTACAAACAATTATTAACAGTAGTGAAAAGATGGAAAATCAATGGCACAGACATGTAGCAACATCTCCCGGCCACTCCAGAACAATACTGCAGGGTTTGTTAGAGGAGAAAAGAAGAGGAAGACCAAGAAAACCTATTGCACCTGACCAACAGAGGTGGAGGGAGCTGACAAGGCAGTCGACAATAACTAGTGATCCAGACACAGTTTATGGGACAATGATGGGACACCATTTATGGGAGAATTAAAAAAACCAAAAAAAACCTGCTTTCCCTCTACAAGCATGTCATACAATGCGACTTATTTGGGGTGTTTCCTTCTAAGTCGGTCACATGCCTGAGAGGTGAGGAACCAACAGTTTGCATTAAAAAAAACGGAGTTTTCTTATCAAGCAACTCTATTTTTAAAAAAAAGACAATGTACAAATGTAGATAAATAAAACTGTTAAACATTTATTAGTGACCTCTGTTAGTGTTTATTGATTACCACTTTATACGTAATTTTTTTTTTAAATTTACAAGTGTAATAAAAATTTAACAACAGATTTATGATTACCAGTGAGTTGGTGGTGTTCACTTACACAAAACTTTTTTTATTAATGAAGATAACAATGTTAAGAAATCATTTAACATTAATTCTGTTTACTTATAACACTCAACAAGGTGTCAGATATGTAACAAGAATAAGTTACAAGGATCAAGAAGGTTCTAGTCACAAAATGGAGAAGCATAAGAAACTACTACTACTTCCTGTACGCTCAGATAATCAGCCTAGACACATTTAATAAAAGCAGTAGTCGATTTGAGTATGTATGGCATATGCATAACATTTGTCCTCAAACAAGAGTGGATGCAGGAAAAAATTATTTCCTCCATACTGCAAATGTATACAGGTCATTTTACCAATTCCACAGTTCAACCGTATTTCCTATTCTATCTTTATGTGCTAGTGGTATCTCAGTATGTTATGTCCTGTATGGCAGTCTGAAGACTGATGTTTGCGTGTCCACGAGATGCAGCATCTTTCTAGAGGCTTAGATGCTCTGATTGGCCACATAGGTGCTCCTTACAAACTTCTTGGCATTGCTGAAGTTATGTCTATACCAGAGTGAGTTAGTCTTCCATTATTTTCTCAGGTTTATTTTCATTGTTTTTAATCTAGTATTATGGGATCAGGATTTTTGACACAGTATTTGCGAGTGCTGTTTTTAAGTCTGCTGGTTCTGTATGTGTAGTGCCATTCAGTATTGGGGTAATTGGTTATCTCTCAGAAGAGAGCAATGTTTATATTTTTTTTAAATTTTTGTGAACAGCCTTTCTATTGTAGTTTCCAAGCTTTTTACATTTGCTCTGAAATCAATTTTTCAGGTTCCACAATTATCTTTGCCAAGCTACTATGCAGTTTGGGGTTGTTTTTCTTCTTTCTGTTGCATTAGGACACTTCCTCCCCCCCCCCCCCCCCAACATGCCATAAGAAGCACAAGTCGAGATCTTATAGCTTAACAGAATTTCAGGGAAAGGGGTTGCTAATATCCAGAAAAGTGTCTGGTAAACAATCCATATAATATGAAAAATTATTTTTGAAAAACGATTTAAAAGAAAATTTCCCCTTGGGTGGTAAATCCCTTGATATATATTTATGCAGGATAACGATTTTCATGCCAACTTTCTGGGAGTTATGTCCACCTCACATGACAATATATAAAAATAACTAGTAGCTGAAACATGAAGCTCCCTAACTATGCAATTTAGGCTGCAAGATTATAATATTTGCATCATTTAATTCAAACATAAAAATTATATTTCTACTCTCTAGTTAAAATAAACTAGGAAAATGTATGGCAGCTTGATTACTAAAAACATGATATTAGATGAAAATGTGACAACATAAATTTTTTTTCATTATTTTCCACAATGTTCAATTCTTGCTGAGTGCAAGTGTCTAATCCTCTTCAGATTGGGGAAACAATAGGAATGTTTACAGAAAACACTTTTTGTCTCTTGCAGCATACACTTTCTAGTCATACGTATCAACCATTGCTCAGTGTGTAAAAACCACAAACCTCCTTGTGAAACTAAACCTTTCAGGCTAATCATCTTCAACTGATACATTCAAAACAGACAACTTATTTTTCTTAATTCTCTTTGTGTGTCTTTTTTCTTCACTTTTTCTCTTCACAGCTACCCTTTTTTTCAGATGATGGCGGATTTTCTTTCTTGCAGCAATATCAGGATTGGTCACAACCTCAGCAGCAATTGTCCTCTTTTTAATTTCCCGTTTCTCTTGTCTCCATTTATGGCAACTAGCAAATGCTGATGTAAATTCTGGTACACCAACTTGCTTCTTCAACAAATCAACTACCTCTTGAGCCAAATTTTTCATATTTGCATCTTGGGTATTTGTCAACATTTCTCTCTGCAGTGCCGGTAACAAGTAAGGTAGCAATGATGTTACTGAAGCTGCCTTTAGTGACATCCCAAGAGCTGCTATCCATCTGAATACACAATTTCTCCTCACAGTGACCTTAACATTAGTGATAACCTCCTTATTGGCCTCCTGCATGACTTTATTAGTGATCCACACTAATATATCAAGACTTCCCAAAGCTTCAGTTAACCGGGCAAGATACAGTATATTTTTAACCACCTGTGTTCCCAGAACATCGTCTAAATTTGGGGTTTGCAACTGTCGACAAAATGACCAGCTACAATTTTTCACCCATTGCAATGTGTCTTGCATCATATAAAAAGGCTTCTGGCTCTCTTCAGAGTCACCAGTTTTCTTCTGTTGCTTCACAATTTCATCAGGCTCATGTGAGCTGAATATGAGACCTAATAGTTGGCTGCAGAGAAGTCTTACTTGTGAGTGAGGGTACAGCAGATGGGAACATACATGACCCCAAATTTCATAATGCTGATCATTTAAATGTGCTTGCTGCACAAACTGGTTATCTTTAACAATTTTCAGCAAGCTGTTCAGTACAGCCACAAGACACGTATCCCGCTGTTCTGTTTTAAACAGGTCTTCATTTTCCTCGGTGTATTTGTTTGGGTTCAACTGTAGAAGTAACAGAGGAATGACCTCATCGAGACAAAATTTAAACTTCCCATCTTCTACTTCCACAAATATGCCACAGACATGACTGCCCATAGTGCAGACATCAACAACATCTGACTTCATCCATTTAACGACATCAGCAAATAAAGTTTTTCTCTGTTTCATATCAATCTTTCCAATCAAAGTTCCCAGGGCAACCATTAGCAGTTTTCTGCATTTGGTAGATGTGTCATTGAATGATGCCATGGCCAGGGCAACAAAGAACTTGTGACAATGATTGTTTAGTATTGCCTGAGGAAAGGATGCAAATATTGTTATCATCATCTCAACTGCGGATTCTCTTCCTTCTTCAAGTTCATAGTTTAGATTGTCTATGTAGTAATACAAGTGTTTTTTCAGGCTTTTACCCATAGGGTAGTTCAATAAATAATACAGGATCACCTGCCTACTCTGAAGTCTAACATTGGCAGAACTTGCTGTTACTGACATTTCAATCAGTCTGTCCATCACTTGATGCAGCTGGGGAATGTCCAGTTTTCGAGACAATATTGCTTTTATGAGGTTGAAGGCTGAACTTTGACGTGAAAAGTTGTAAATATCTTCCTCACAATAAGTCAATAAAATCTTCAACTGGTTTTCTGTAACTTCATAATAAGTTACAACTCTCACCAACACCGTTACAGCCTTGAAACACACTGTTATTAGTTCTTGGTTCCCTCCTTTGGCTGTGGCAGCCCCAGTATAGTTCTGAACAATAACAAACATGTCTGGAGCAATCTTGTTCATGTTTTCTTTCAATGAAGGCAGGGGAAACTTTAAAAGCCAGGATAGGCATCGCATACAATTTGCCGTTGTTTTTGTATGTGAACTCCTCAGAGAGTCTTGTATGGCAGGTATTAATGGATCCAAGAGTTGCAGATGCAAATGCTCATGTGGTAGCAGCAATGACTTCTTCAGACACATTTGGAGTAGCTGCAACCCAAATTCCACAAGCACATGAGTGTTTGTTTCTTTACTGGCTTTTGGCTTAAATCCCCCTCTTGGTGCAGCTTCAGGAAGGAGCAGGCAACTCTCAGGTAATCTGTGTTGTGACCTCTCTTTGTTTTCTGTTCTTGATGTCTTATGACTGCTGCTCGGAAAAACAGTGTTGCTGATTGACTGAGTTGTCCAACATTTGATGAACACCATCATAGTTTCTATGGGAATGTTGCTGTTAACCATTAGGCCATGAGCAACTTTGAGTAATACAGCTTCAGCTTTGTTTGCTATGTGGCGATTATGAGTAGTCTCCAAAACCTCTTTTATTGGACGCACCAACTGGTTTACATTCCTAGGTGAGATATATTTAGCAAGTAACTGATAAGCATCATATGCTTTAATAAACTGTGCTTCAAAGTACTTGGCTTTTATGGCAGCTACTTCCTTCTCATCTGCAGTCTGTCCAAACAGCTCTGAATAGAAAACTTCCTGCACAGTGATTAGAGATGGGTCCAGATCACCTGGTTTCATGTGACTACTAAGAACTTTCAAAAGGTGATATGCTGTATAACCCAGAACATGAAGCTGATAACCTCTTGTGAGAGTGGCCTTTAGTTCCCTAAGTATAAAGGGCAGGAATCTTGCACCAAGTGACAATGCAACTTTCTCGATTGTGTCTCTGGCTGATGTGCGTACATCTCGAGATCGAGATCGTAGGAACACACAAATTTTCAAGAGAATGCCTGGCAACATGTTTTCCAACGTTCCTCCAGGCAAGTGCTGCAGTAATTTGATCATGGCTAAGGCAAGTGGAACCCGCAGGATTTCATCGTCTTCAGGATACTTTGATTTAACATGTTTGTGCTCATCTTCATTTTTTGCTTTATGTGTTACAACTCTGTGAATCTGGGGCAAAAGAGTTATCACAATAGTTTTGTGTATCCTTGTTGCTGCAGCTGGTGAGCAAATGATATCACTATTATCTGTTGCTACTTCATCAGATTTCTCACTCTCATCTGCCTCTGTTACTGCCTCAAGTAAATTTGATGGTGTCTGAGTAGCTTCCTCTTCTGGTGGTTGCTCATTTATCACTTTGCTTGTGTCCTCTTGTTCCATGCCTTCAACAAGGGAATCCATGTCGTTTCCAATAACGGCTGCTGGTGTGATTGTAATGTTGTAAGTTGAGTTTCGCAGATCAAAATGAAAAGCATCAAGCAGTGTAACAATCACTCTCACAAGCTGCTTTTGCAGCTCAATTTTTTTGGGCAATAAATGCAAGTAGAATCTCAAAAACTGTAGATAGTATTGCCAAGGCATCTGTTTGCAAATAGCACCTAGAACATCAACAGCAGCATCCTGAACATTGGCATGACTGGAGTAGGTGGGGTCAGTGATAAACACGTAAATCAAAGGGATAAAATAGGACATATGAATCTCAGCACGAAAATTATGGTCTTTCAGGTGCTTGTACAATCGACGAAGACCCCTTGATCTCTTGTGAATTTGTATGTGTCGAATGTTTTCAAAGAAGTCGGCTTCTGTATCTTTGTCACACAAATGTATCAGTCTAGTAAACATTTCATTATCCGGACAGCTGTTCACTAGATTCTGCAGAAGTGCTATAAACTCATGCCGGACGGCCTCTGATTTATGTCTAATTCCAAGTTTGATCTGAGGCAGAAGAGCTTTTTCTATGACAATATTGAAAGTTTTTCTGCAATCTTCTGTTGTAGTTTGTGCTAGACACTTGACAATGCAAATGAGACAGTGTGTGGAATTATCTCTGACAGACATATCATCAACATGATTGATAAAATAGCAACAGTTATAAACAACTGGTAGCAAGATATCAACTGCAGCCATCTCCATGCTCGACACCATTGAACAGATCTCATTGAAAGCTTCTAGTCTTGTGAAATAATCAGGCTCCTCTGTCTTTCGTTTATCCCAGGTATTCAGCTTTTCAATCAAAGTGACACATTTAATCAAGACTGGATCTTTTTCACTGATAACTCTAAAGAGTTTACAAAGTTGTGTGCGAGATCCTCTCCTCTCAACACTGCAGAATAACTGAGACACGTCCCTGTAAAAAGCTTCAGGTTTGCTGATGTACTGTATCATATTTGTGAATGACAGCAAAACATTTTCTTCCATGTCCTGGGACAGGGTAAATCCTCGAGAAAATAAAGAAATCAGAAGATCACACAAAGCATGACATTCTCCTGGTTGTGTCACAAGATTGCTGATTCTTCCAAGAATCTTCAATTCTGTGTTGAACTTCTGCTTCATTTTCCATGAACCACATGCTATTTTACTCAGTGAGCCTTTCAGATGCAGTATGAGACTGTTGATGTGAGGTAGGAGAATGTCTTCACATGCTTTCTTTCGTTCTCCCTCTTTAAAAACAGCAAATGGATGTGGTAAAGCCTGCATCTGCTGTTCTTCACCATCTTCTATGTGAAGTAAGTTATCAATGAGGTTCATAATTGCTGTTTCAACTGACGGATTCAGTTTTGGAGCTTTCAGTAGTGACATGATGGAAGCCATGGGTGTATAATCTACAGGAGACGAAGAACTCTTCATATGGCCCAATAATGGAAAGAACCGCTTGCTTTGGCTCCAAAACAAAAAGAGTTTTAAAATGGGTGTTGGGTGATGAATACCTTCTGATGTTAGCTTCCATGCCAGAGGCCAAACAACAACTTTGAAAACAGCTTCTATCTCTTGAAATGTGTAATCCAGATTCTCAAAATTCTCAAAGAACTGAGTGATCCTGTTTACAGCTGTGTGAAACAGTGTCTTGAGAAGATTAACAGCACCTTTCAACACAATTTGCCTGTGCGTCAGGGCAGCACTAATAGTGGCTGTCAAACCCAGCAGAATGTGAAGAAGTGGATGCAAAAAACTCACCATACGATGACCAAGCTTCTGGAAAACTGACTGTACCGTATTTAGAACTCCTTTTATTCTTTTCAGAGGAATGAATTTCTCAAAATGTACATCCATGAGAGCTGAGCTAACCATTTCAACTGGATCAACTGTAACAAATTGCATGAATGGTTGAAACAACAACTCCAGAAAGTATATCAATTCTTCCGGTTTGCAGCCACACAGAAATGAAAACACAATCGACTTGCGGAGATTGCTGCGGGATTTGCCAGAAGTGTCAGTTCCTGTCTTGCTATAAAACTTTCCATACAGAATTCTCATAAGTACAGGCAATAATTCATCCCGATCAGTCTTCTTGATGTCTGTGCTCTCTTCATCCACTCGAAACAAAGTGATTTCTGTTTTAAAAGTGTTATCATCAAGGAGGCGGTAAAAGTTGTCTCTGTATGGTAAGATATGAGGATTCTTGTAGCTCAATATACATTCAAAAGCAGCTTTCTGAATTGAAGAATTCCAGTGTTTCAAAAGATCGTAGAAGGAGTTCTGCATCTGTGACTGGAGAAACACAGACTTCTGCTTTTTGAACAGTGCTAATAATTCCAGATGAACTAGGAGACTCAAAATGGTAGGTTTTCTCCTAGGTGAAACATTCTCCACTTCCTTCACTGGTATATCAAAATTCTCATCATTATTTTCCATTGTCACGTCCATGTATGTTTCAGCTTGTGAATCGCCACTCGGAGTGTCACATTTTCCAGCATCAGACTGCAAAATATTTTGGCACAACATGCTATCCTCATCAGCTGCAGCGAACTCATTTTTCAGGAAACTGAGATACAGCTCACAGAGAGCTTCAGATCTGGCTTTGCATCTGTCAGGAAACTTTTTCATAGCCTTCCATAGCTGTAAGCGGAAATTTGTAAAATTGGGCTGTCTTGAATCCACAAAAACGTGTGAAGTGTGCTGACAGAATAAACTGGATACAGTTGCCTGTCCATCACAGTAACTGACTGCTGCTTGTACTTCCAGTTCTTTTTCAGAACCCTGTGCAGCGTTCTTCAATTGTTTTAACATAACTTCCCAAAATTCATCTGAATCAAGCCCCTGGGCATGAGATGAAATAAGTTCAGCAAGAGGTTCCCACATGAGTTTAAAATTCCAAAATTCATTACCAAGTAAGAACAGCAGTGGTGCCTTTCTGTAAAATTCTGATGGCAGACACTTGAAAATGCAATTATATTCAAGCTTGCGCAGGTGAACAAGCTTCTCTCTGTAACAGTGAACTGTAGGTACAATTTTCTCTGCTTCATACATGATCTTGAAGATGCTTTCCCTAGTCAAACCATCATTGTAGTCTGGCAGAACAACCAGGAAAAGTGACAATAAATGACTGGTAATCAAGCGAACACTATTGGATGATGAAACCAGGTTGGGCTCTAGCAAGGTGTAAACTTCTCTAAGCTGACTCTCTGTTAGTAGAACTGAATTCTGAGGGCAGGACAGGTAAAAGTCCAACATCTGTACTGAAAATAGGCTAGATGGCCTCAATCTAACCATCTTAAGAATGTCTGCAAAGTCAACCGGCATGGCATTTGGCTCATTTTGAAGCAGAATTATCAAAATGCTTTGCAATGTCTGATTCAATACTGCTAACATGGATTCCACCAAAACTTCATCATGACAATGTTCTATTTGTATCAAAAGCCCTTTCCACAAATGTGACATGGTCTGCAGGTCACCTGCACAAAAATGAGGTGAGCATACAACAGCACTCCACAACAATGACAGATCTGATGCTGACAAGAGTTTCTCTTGATTTAACGTACAAGCCAAAATGAATGTAATGTAAGTGGAAAAAGCATTTTCTTTCAAAGATCTGGACTTGCTAGTGTCAGGACAGTATGGCTTCAACAAAAGTACATCTGCCCCAGTAAATGGAAGTTTTACTTTCTGCATTACAATTTCTACCACAAGCGAAAGGATTTCTTTTTTGTCTCCATTTTCTAATGTCAGCAATGAATTCAATCTGGCCATTAATCCCGGCAACACATCCTTTTCAAAGAATGGCAAACTGAGGACATCTTTTACAAAACATTTCAGGGCAGAAAACTGGAATTGTATGTTCAACACTGCTGAATTCAAATAGGATATTTTTCCAACAGAAAGTTTGTCATGGCAGGTCTGCAGCAGGTTTGAAATGGTGCACAGGATCTGCTCATCTAACTGCTGTGCAGGACACAGCGACTTAAGGGTGGTACAAAGTGTATCTGCAATGAGTTCAGCATCTGAAACTATGCTGCCACCATTAAACATCATCCACTCAGACATAAGCCTCAAAAGCCGGTACAGATGTTGAATCAAATCAATTCTTCCAGCTATGTCCTTTTGTTGATTTCTTGTGCAAGCAGTGCATACTTGATCAATTGTTTTAAGCATGATTTTCCATAACGGTCTGGCGTACTCCTTCGTTGTGTGATTTGCACACTCCTGAATTAGTACCACCACTGCTTTTTCTACTAAGTTGTAAGGCAGACCAGTTTCATTCAACATGTTTGGATTCCATGCTCCCAACTTTTGCAGAATCAACGGAAATGCCTTTTCACTTATTGTATGAAAGTGATTATTCACACCCTTCATCATTTCAAACAGTAACAGTCCAATACCATCTACCAATTCAGGCTGAGTTTTTAGTGACCCAAATAGCATGTTCAACAACTCATCTTGGTGTTTAACCTTTCTCAAAAGATATGCACAACTTTCAGCTGCAAACACCTTGATATAATCTTTCTGAGATGACAGCATTAATTCAGAGAAATAGCTGAATACTGTTGTGAAGTCTTTGACCAAATATCTCCATAGGAACCTGAACAGACATGCAAAAGTCTGAAAAATCTGCTCCAAGATTTCAACATTCTGTAAATTTTCTTTCAGCAAGCGAACAAGTATATTAAAGAAATCCTGGAAGTGGGGCATGAATTCCTGCTGCAAATCTCTTGCAAGCTGCACAAGTAGATCTAATAAGGCCGCCACAGCCAGCGATCTTGGTACTGTCAAATGTTTTTTAAGGGAAACTATAATTTCATCCTTGTGATGAACAAGCTGTTCAAATGTTTGGACTTGACCCTGTATTTCCTTCCTGAAATTTATAAAATGATCTGTTAAGTCCAGATCAGTCCATTTTGATAAAGCGTCGCCAAAATAGATCGTTTAACTTTCAATCTCATCATGATCATCAGTTCTGCGTATCTGATGAATTACATCAGTGTTCACATTCAAAATGCGATCAGAGAAAGGCACAAAATGATGAACGTTCTGTGTTTTGTGCCGCGATGACTTGCCCATCTTAAACAAACCAATTAATTTAAATACACAGAACTAATTAATTACACGTGTTGCAAACCTAACCATGTGGTATCCTGGAAAACCTAAACAAGAATGGAAACAGTGTTGCCCAGCCAGTGTTGCCACTTTTCTTTGACAAAAAATATCAAAAACGGTGTCAAAAAATATCTAAAACAATCTAAATCTGCGTGGAAAAGATCTAGAATAAACATCCAAATTGAAAAAGTCAAAAATCACATAGCTTTTGTTATGACTTACCCTACATAATCATGTCCTTACCTTCACTGATGTCTGCCTCACAAGATCCACAGGATAAACTTAGCTTAGATAATGAAGTTGAAGCTTCAGATCCAAGATGACCCTGGTATGCTTTAGCTGTTCTAATTTCTTTATAAGTGGAACAGTAGGCTTATTTCTCTAGTCTCATCAGGCCAAATTTTAATGGCACGATAGCATTTAAGAGGTCAAATTTCATCCTGTTTTTTAGGTTAGATTTGATATAATTCCTAGCACTGAAAATTCTTTCTACGTCAACATTTGAGTGGGGTAGTATCATGGCAGACATGACACTTTAAAGAGCTTACAGAATGGACTGTTTGACGAGGCATCTTTAAATTGTCTCACTTCACTCCAAAACGCTTTAGTTTCTGTTTTGTTTGTCCATTCAGCTAACTTTATTTTGGTTAACTAATATTCTGCTTCCGCGACACTATTATCAGTAGCCCCTAAAAATTTCCTAACTTTACAATATTTAGGTATGTCCTTTATTGGCTGAAGTATGTTGCTCACAGAAAAAAAGTGAAATATTTTTCAAAACATCTAGATTTTCAAGAAGTCTCTGCTTCAATTGCTTTAATAATGAGATGAAATCTTGACAGCGTTTTCTTAAGTTGTTCTCTTCATTCTCTGTTAAGTCCTTTTGTTTTTAAATCATCAATTTTTGATTCGATTTAATATCCAAGGCGTGGTTTAGGAGCCAAATAGCTCTCTATAGTGCAAGTGAGCAAATCAGCTTTAGAAGTTGGCAACACCAGTCTTTTACCGAGTGAAATAGCACGGTGAGATCATCAAGTAATTTAACTTTATCAACAAGTTTAGATTCGAACAGTTTATTAACTTTTTGCACTTCCATTAGAATAGGTTATCAAAAGAGAATGGATGTCAAATTTTGTTCATCACTGTACATTCCATATAGTATTTCAGCTGTGTAGCACTTTTCACTTTGTCTTGTTATTTCAAAGTGTGTCTTCAACTTCAGCCATTGCTTCATAATTCTTTCAACAGCTGGTTAAATTGATAACCATCTAGTTTTGCAATCTGACATAATTTTCGGTGGTGTGGAACCATCATTCAAGGCTGTATATAATGTATTGTATTGCTGTTGTCTGACAAATGATTTGGAAAACCAGTTAAGTGTTTCAGCGATAAGGTATTCCAAATTCCTTGGTAAATATTTAGATGAAGCATCTGGTAATGCTAGCTGCAATGAATGACGCATACATTTTATAAGTATTAACGATGGGTTAGCTTCCTTCACCTTGGCATAAACGCCATTGTTTATACCAACCATCACTGAGTAATTATCAGTACCAATTACAGCCAAATTCTTCAAGCCTAACTGTTTGCTGATTAAAAGGTCCTTCAGTTCTTAAACTATACTTTCTACATCACACTTTTCAAATTGAACTTGTCCAAGATTTTTTACAAATCGATCAAATGGTCACAGTTTGAAATTGCGCAGTGACAAATTAAAAACATTGCGACTGATACTTCAATTTTTGCTGATTCATTTATCAGTATAGTTCTGAAAACAGATGTCAGCGGTGTAATATCTTAAATGAAACTGCAGTTTTATGCTTTTTTAGTCTCTGCATGACTCTTTGAGTTTTGTATTTTCGCTTTAATTTCACACTTGCAGTACTTACAACAAGCTTTGGTCAGATCCCCCGTTTTTAATTTTGTCATCATGCAACCACTCTTTCCAAATTTTTTGCTCATACTTTACTTTTGGCATGTTGAAAGGTTTTTCAAAGTGAAAGCCACATAAGAAGGTGAGCAATTATTTTTTTTAAATCACATGAAAAAGAAACGCAAAGTCAGCACAGTGAGGATGATGTTGAAACAAAGTTAGTATAATTTACGCGCGTTTTTATTAATCAGTACCGGGGCTGCCAGATATTTGTGCGTGAACCCAGTGAGAGTTCAAAGTTCAAGTAATGGCAGTTGTCACAATGTAGGTGCCAGACCAAAACAAAAATATTGTAGTAAATATTTTACACAGTAATTAATAAATTGACAATGAAAGAAAAAAAATCTATAAAATATCTAACTCCATATGGAAAGATCTAGAAAAGTATTTACGATCTAAACGTCAAAAACAGTATTAAATGCAATGAAAAAGATCTAAATTTAGATATAAAAGATCCAAAGTGGCAACACTGGTTTTGCCACTTTTCTTTGACCAAAAAAAAAAACACACACACACACACATCCAAAGCAGTCAAAAAATATCTAAAAATATCTAAATTTGAAAAACATATAGAAAAAACATCCAAATGGAATGAGACACAAATTACATAGCAATTGATACGACTTACCCTATAGAATCGTGTCCTCATCTTTACTGAAGTCTGCTTTACAAGATCCACAGGATAAACTTAGCTTGGATGATGAAGTTGAAGCTTTAGATCAAAAATAACTCTGGTATGCTTTAGCTGTTCCAAATTCTTTTAATACCCAGTCAGGGAGCTGAAAAGTGGAACAGCTTTTTACTACTCTTATCAGGCCAAATTTTATTGTCAAGATAGCATTCATGAAGTTTCTTAGGTTAGATTTGATAAACCCCGTGTGGGTCCCGGGGCCCCATTGTGGGAAAAACAAGAATAGACCCACTGCCTCCCCAAAAGCATGTCGTAAGAGTCGACTAACTAGGGAGCTTCCTTTGAAGTCGGAGTTCCTCTGCCGGAGAGGCAAGGAACCAACAGTCTGTATTCTTTATCTTTCTTCTTCTTCTGCGTTTGACATCAGTCATACTAAACATTGAGTCCCGTCTGGGTCACAAATAGGATTGTGCGTTTAAGGTCGCCACCGGTCCCCCATAGCTTCTCTTTCAATGTGGTTCCCTTGGGCCAGATTCTGTATTCAAGAGAATGAGATCTGTAAAACTGATGCACACGCAACACTCAGGTTCTGGAGCAGGACTGCAGTTCAGCAGCGGAGGAGCAACCAGAACTTACCGCCAGTGTACAGCTGGTGAAGAAGGAGATGAAGAAGATTGGATAAATTCACTCCAAATGAAAAATATATAGAAAAACATCTACCATCTAAACGTCAAAAACGCCATCTAAATGCAAGGGAAAACATCTAACATGGATGTAAAACATTCAAAGTGGCAACACTGAATACAAACTATAGTACCTGTCATGACTCTACTCACAGAAGAGTTCTGTTTGTTTTATTCTATGGTGGCTGATACTGAGACACTTCTCTTTTCCATCTCTAGTTTCTTTCATTAAAAAAAAAAAGTAAGTAATTAGATTACAATTTATAGATAGTTGCCACGCTACAGTGAGACTGAGTGCCATCAGCCTTGCATTTTTCAGCCAACTTCACGGTTGAGATCAGATAGATCCACTTTTATTTTGTTTTTAAATTTAACTACTTTGTCTTTAGAGTTAAAGTCTACCTAAGTACAGGCGTAGGGCAGTAATACTGTTACCGCAACGGCGGAAGCCTACTACACAAATTTAACAGTTTGAAATATAAATAAATAGTAATAAATACTAGGGATGCTTGTGAAGTTCTGTTTATTGGGTTTTTTAACAACATGTGAACATGGAACTATCGTAGCTGGATAGATCTTCTTCTTTTTCTTCTTCTTCTGAAATGGAGAGAGTGAGAAGCAACAAGGTAACACATAATATATTTAAATCACCATTGATCACTGGCTTCATGAGAGCTAACAGACAAAATAGTTGGGGCATACTGAAAGAATGTCAAATGACAGCGAAGTAAAAACTGTTTACACCTGAGAGAGGATGGGCATCGTAGACCACGAGGCAGACAAAAAAAAAAAAAGAAGTTCGAGAGATAATGTCCAGCCAGACCTGTAAACAACTGATGTCACAAATTGTGAAGATAAGACCAGCCAGAGAGATGAATGGAGATGAGTGATATCTGCAGCAGTAAACCTAAGGGCTCAGAATGCTAAAAAAGGAGATGACTATTCTGTGCTACTTTATGTGAAGTAAAAGTTAAGCGTACATTTGACATTGTGAATATTTTTTTAAGATATATTTTATACACTATTCGTATTCGATGGAATAGTTGGTCCCGTATACAAAATCACTATTCAGTACAGCCCTAGTTTAAATTACATCGACCGAGCGAACGATGGTTTTGAAAGAGGTGGGAGTGGTGACCACTGGAAAGATCTGTGGAAGGAGGGATAGAGGAAGACAACGATAGAAGATTCTTGAGTGTTTTTGCATGGCATGGAGATGTGTCAGCACACAAACTGATACATGCTGTAGGAGATCACAGATTGTGGCGGGGCATAATCGCCCACGCCATTCGACAAAGCACCTGATGATGATGCTATACTATTCGTATTTGGCTGAATAGTTGGTCGCACTATTCATATTCGGCCGAATAGTGAAAATCACTATTCGGTACAGCCCTACTTTGAAGGCATTAAATGCAAAAGTGGCTGCTTCTGACCATTTATCCTTACCTGACCGGTAACTTCCCTAAGTTTGATATGAAGCTGAAACTAAGATTACAAGATTCACTTCTGTCTATCAAAAATGATACTATGTAGCTTTTGCACTCTTTTCCTTACCTCAGTTGACAAAGATAGATTGCATAAAATACTTTTTTTATCCTGTCAAAGGTCACCTTTACCTAAGCTATTCAGAATTTAACTTTCTTTATACATCTCCCATCTGCTGCTATCAGGGTACCCAAGTACCTGAATATATCAACAGGCTTCAGATGGTATC